CAATTATTTCTCAAAAACCCTAAAACAGGAGGTTCCAAACCCTATCTTTCCTCAGGCCTAAATACTAATACTGTGAGGTATCTTCTCGTCCCTGTCTCATTACGGGTAATGGAAGGTTTTAATTTCCTTGCTGTCTCATTTCCGTTTTTGTTGAACTTATTTCACTTGTGATTGATTTTTTTTTTTTATAATGTTTATATAGTCTTTAGGAAAGAGATGGTTGATAACAAGGTGGCGGAGGCTAAATTTGAGGAGGCTCCAACGTGGGTTTGTTGGGACATTGAGCACTGTCCAGTTCCCAAAGGTTGTCAAGCTCAGGAGATTTTTCAAAAGATAAGCTTGGCACTGAGTAACTTAAACTACCGTGGTCCAATCTCCATCTCTGCCTATGGCAACATGGATCACATCGCTCCTTCCGTCAAGGAAGCTCTCTCTTCCACTGGAATTGTTCTTAATCACGTCGTTCTCAACTCCAGTTAACCTTCTTGATAATCCTCATCTCTGACATTTATATTATAGACAATGATTTTCAGATTCTTACGTTTACTAAGCAATTAATTATTATCTCACGTCTTTTTATGTTATGAAACAGGAGATTTCAGCTCATATATTTCGAACCAATTATTGTTGTGGGAGGTACCACTTCCAGCTAATTTAATGCTCATCACCCGTTACGACGAAGATGGTGGCTCTATGATTCTTCAATATAAGCAAAAGGTTGGATACAACACTCTTCTAGCACATCCCGAACATGCCTCAGACTTTTTTGTTGCTTCTGCAAACACCACATTTCTATGGAAATGCTTGGTGCAATAACCGGATATAAACCAGCCAAACAGGCCTTAACTCTCTTCTTTTTCCTCACATGTATTGTAACAGCGGCGCTAATGCAAATAAAAACCATTAGATTTTGAAATTTTGATTTTAGATTCAGCCGCCATATATATAATGTCTTTTTTGTCTCTTCTCCATACTCGCTGTATTGTGCTCACTACAGCTTGAGAGAGACCAAAAAACTTAATATCTGTGTTGATTTTATTTTTCATGAACTTTTAATTTGTTCCTCTCTCTCGTAGCTTTTCAAATATTAGCTGTGTGACTGTGTCTTTAATTTCTTCGTTTCTTCTGTAATTCACTGGTGCAAGTCCTCTCATGTCTCTCATAAACCGCTTTCACATGCATGACCTCAAAATTTTGTTCTTCAGTTTGCATCCATAAGATTAAGGGGTTGATTGGTAGAGCATTAGCATAAGCATTATGCTCTCTATTATCCAATCAACATTTTGCAAAGAAGCATTTAGAAAAGCATTTACCAAATGCAAATGCTCTCCAAATACTATTTGCTCAATGCTCTCATATAGAGCTTTTGCAAGAGCATTTGCATATAGAAAATATAAAACTTAATAATATTTATATATAATTAATTTATTTTAGTTTAAAAATATAAACAATATTTTTATAATTAAATATAAATTTATATTTTAAAAAATAAAAATTATAATTATAATTTTTTTAAAAGAAAAATATTTCACATTTAAAATATAATATAATTTATATAATTACATATATCATTCATTATTTTTATTACAAAAATAACATAATATAATTTATATATTATCGATATAAACATATTATTTAGACACTAATAAATACAATTTTATATATGAGTAATTTAGTGCTCTACCAATAAATAAATAATAATAATTTATATAAAAATTATAATTAATTTATATATAAATATAATTTATCTATTTAATAATAATTATAATTTAATAATAATTAATTAAATTATAACTATAATTTATATATGAGTAATATGTTATATCCATAAATAATTTATTATTTGAAAAAAAACTTTAAATTTTTAAATATAATTATATAATGAAAATTCATTATTTCTAATAAAATTATATATTTTTAATATATATTCTATATATATATTATTTTAAAAGTAATATATTATTTTACTAACTATTATGACAATTTAAAATCATATACTGCTAATGCTCTGCCAATCATTTTTATTAAAAACTTTATTGAAAGCATACAGCTTCTGTAGCATACTGCTTCTGCAGCATACTGCTACTGTTTTATCATCTGCTGTACCAATCGAGGCCTAATTGAATCATCCATAATGTAGCTTTCAATTAACGTGTGGTTGAGAAAAAACAAAATGATGTTATACCAAAGAACCACAATATACACATGTGGTGAATGTGTGCCAAAAATACTTACGCTCTTCTTCTAGAGAATAAAGTATGCAAATGTCGTGACAAGATATAATGAAACAAACTCCACTATTGCTTGCTAGCTTGGTTTGAGACAAAATACATTCTTCACAGATGCAAGTAGCTCGAAGTTATCACGAGGAAGAGGTACATTCACCACAGATGTGGTAATACACAACTCGGGCTTCTAGTTCAAGCGGTAAAAGGTTTACAGTTGTGAGTACCGTCATCTCGGTTCGAATCCCAGTCAGTCTGGATCACTTCTGTGAGGCCATGATACCTCTGTATAATTCAAAAAAAAAAAAAAGTGGTAATACACTCCAGAAAACAGAACAATAGTATTTGTCTTGGTAGTATCATTGTTCTTCCAGTATATAACACTACCACTAGTCTACTAACCAAATTGAAACGACGAGAAACAGTCAGCTGACTTTTAAAGAACACATATATTGACTCTGTATTAGAAATTACAATTCTCTCAAGGAAGGAATTTTCTAAATTCTTTAAATTTGAAGAAAAAATACAATATGTACACAAATAATTTTTTTTTTGCGATTATAAGTTATTTTTTGAGCTATTTAGCTCAATATACACGAACTGAAAGTTATTTAGGTAACTAGGAAATTACTATTCACGTACTGTATTAAATTTCTTTTTTCGCCAAACTGCCCCTATATCCTACCTCTGCATACCTAGTCAGCTAACTACGTAGGTGCAGCTGTAGACATAAACAGAACCAGGTTAGTGTCAGTCTCATAAACGAGCATGTGTAATTCACGCAGTTGTAGACGTTCTCAGAAAAAAAAACCAACATCATCTTAAATCCTAATTCATCAATAATATGAAGCTGTTTTCTCTTTCATCTGGCTTCAACTGTGCGAAACGGTAGAATACCAAATAGCAATTTGCTAGCTTCGATTTACAGAGAGTTGAGTGATTAACAAAACACAGAATCAAGATCCTCGTTGAAAATGGTTTCTTCCAGACTAGTGGATGTATGCGATTCACCAGAAGAACAAGAACTCCTCCCAATTCCGGATATGATGTTTGCAGTGGGAGAAGAACCGGTTGGGGTCCGTGTTCTGACATACCTATCATCTGGAGCTATACACCGCATCTACAACGCCTTGGATGTTGAGGAACTGCAAATTATACGTGGTTCTGCTTTTGGGAAAATTGTAGATCTTGTCGATAAACCTGTTTTCTCAGGGAGGTTTGCTAGATATATATTATCTAGACAGCTGAAAACGAAGAAAAAACACGAGGTTTGGTTCCGGTTTGCAGGCAAACCTATTCGTTTTTCATTAAGAGAATTCGCAATCGTCACAGGTCTACCTTGTGGTAAGTTTCCAACTAAATCGAAGATGAAGCTAAAAGAGACGATTGCTGAAAAACCTTTCTGGCCATCCTTATTTGGGAAAATTGAAGTTGCTACAGTTGCTTCCGTTATTAGGATGCTGAAGAAGCGGACCGTGGTTGATCGACTTGTGCGGATCAAATATGCTTGTTTGGCTATTCTATCTTCTGTTCTTCTGCCTACAAATTTGAAAATGAAAATCTGTAGAGAACACGTGGAGGCTATTGCAGATCTTGACGAATTTTTTACTTATCCATGGGGAAGATTAGCTTTCGACATGCTTATGTGCAGTATCAAAGAGAGAGATGAGGTTGCTTTGTCACAGAACACCATTGCAGTTAAAGGATTTGCACTGGCGTTGCAGCTTGTCATGGTCGAGGCCGTTCCCTGCCTTAAAGAAGTTATCCAGGAAATGTGTTCATCGTCAGAAGATGATAGCGAAGAAGAAGGTGATGACAAACATGTCAAACCGAAGAGAAAGACCCTAAGTCCGGGACATGCAAGAAACGTTGACAAGCGAAATGATGTAAGTAATCGGGTCCTTATGTTAAACAGAAAGTGATGCATTACATTATTTTTTCTCAGATAGGCTACATCGTAGTCGACGGATATTATAGCTTATATATAGTATAAAGGTGCTACAAACATATTATTTTTGCTGTCAATTGTATCGATTGTTTATTACCGCTAATTTGACATTAACGGCTCTTGTTTTTTTTCCTAGGTTCTTGTAATCAGTATAATCGATGAAGATCCATTGAATCCAGTTGACGAATCACAGTTAGATTGGTCTGACGAAGAAACTGATGAAAAAGTTGATAACTTGGTTGTGCTGATTAAGGCAAACTATCGGTTCACCACATCAATGTTTGTGGGGGGAATTAGTAGGTTAGATGTTCATCGAATGAGAGATTCTGATGATGTATCCGTGAAGTCAAAGAGGTCGAAGAAACAGCATTGTCTTGGATATGCAAACGATCCATCTTACATTGCCTCACTTGTAATTGAAAAGACTAAGGCCAGATTTGATACAATAGAAGATAATGTCTTTGAAGCCCATAAGAGGGTTGCAGATATAGAGGGTTCCCTGGTTGGTATTGTGCAGTCTATGTTGCCGAAGTTTAAAGATGAAATGCTTGAATCAGTAAGAAAGATGGTTGTCGGCTTGATAAACTCCAATGTGGCTGGTACATCAAAAGTTGACGAAAACGCAAAGATTCCTGATCACTTGGGGACTGACAAGTTACAGGGTTCGCATCAGACCCCGGGTAGAGATGCAAATGATATCGAAATAGAAAATATTATCAATTCGATTCACCTGTACTCGACACCTCCAGACTCTCCTCGTTTAAGTAAGGTATGTTTCTGATTTTCCAGTTTTGTAGTTTATTTTATAGACTAGGAGATATTTATTTTCAAACTTGGATAGGCAGATCATATGTTGCTCAAACCATGTGTAGGGGGAGAACATTGGCACAGTCAATAACAATGGTGACGCATACTATCAAGTTGGCTCGAAAGATGACATCAGTGCTAGTAATGCGGTTTCAGCGTATAGCCAAAATCATCATAATACTGTAGACGTTTGTCAGGATTTGGTACGGAGCACTATATACTTTAAACATTTTGTTCTTCGCCATGAATTTCATTTGCCTCACTGCTTTATGATTGATGTTTCATAATCTATTATGTTTTCAGGAAGCTGACCAAAGTCATCAGGGAGTTGTTATTGAAACGCCTTCCTTCTCTCTTGGTCTAACTCAAGAAGAGCAGTTGCCTGCTATTGGTGTTTGTACGCTAAACACTGTTACGGGTAATATTCCAATAAATTTTTGCGACAACCTTGGAGATTCACAGCAGTTTCGAAAAAGCACCCGGGTGAAGAGTGTTCCGCAAGCTCTTGTGGAGGATTACCAGTGTGGACGCGAGATCGTTTCACGCGCAAGGAAAGCTCAGAGATTTATATTTGCTTTCGATGATAAAGCTGAAACAGGAAGGAAATTCTCAAAACTTCTACAACAGGCTAACACACATGTGTACGTCTTGAAGTTAGTATTTAATATTATATATATCTATATCTTCAATTGCAGTAACTGAATTTTTGGATATGTTTAATTGTTCGTGATATAGTTTCCTAAAGGTCGGTGGAGTTAAAGTTAGTAGGAAGGAAATTTTACAACTTGCTGAAAGAAGGAAGTTTTATACTGCAAAGGTTAGCACTCTCTTCATCCTATATCAAAACATAGTTTACTACGAAATTGTAAGTCGTGAATATATAAAGGTAATATCTGTCTACTTCAGGTTGTAGATGTACTGCTTAGGGTCCTGCAAGCAAGTTTAAAACAAAACTTTCATGAAGAATTCTCGGTAAGGGATGTATATCTTGACAGTAAGTATGTTTCGGCTGTCACTAGGACTTATCCCCGCTTTTGTAAGAGTAAGAGAAAAGGTTCTTTTGTCTTTCCACACGGATTAGTTGCCATTTTTGAGCCAAGTGATCCTTCAGTTGACAAGCAGCAAAGGTATTACTTCCCACTTAATGTGTGCAAAAAACATTGGGTGGGTATATGCGTTGATGCGACAATTGGGAAACTTACAGTTCTAGATTGCAGAACATCTTTGTTCTCTGATGCTGTGTTGGGAAAACATTTGTACCCTCATTTGGTGTTGCTGCCGGCATTATTTACCATTTCTGGTCCCTCCGTGCCGGCTGAGGGAAGTCGGAAACTTGTTTTTGAACGACCTAGGGGATTAAGTCAGTGTGAAAATCCTTGTGATAGTGGATTCATGGCGGTTTTGTTGATGGCAACACATGCTGTTTACGGTATTGAAGCCTGCAAAAACATCAGCCCAAACGTCCTTGTGGAAGAAGCAAAGGCGGCAGCGGTTATGGCTTTCGAGCTCAAAGAAGAAGTGTGATTTGTAAGATGATGGGTGTTACCATTTTAAATAAAATATGTTGAGTAATTACTATCTAAGCTATTGCGGATATTTGGCGCATTGTATGAAATTGGTTTGTAAACATTACTATGGCTTGCTGCAACTTTTATAACATAAGACACTGTTTTAAGTTGGTCCGTACCCATCTGGAGTTCGACGAATCAGTCGGCACATATTACATCAGAGGAGGGTGGACCAGGTTTTGTCGTGATAACGGAGCCGACATAGGAAACTTTTTTGTGTTCCAGGTCGTTGGAGATGGGATAACTCCTCCTCTGCTCTGTGTATGTCCGGAAAGCAAAGAGTGTCGTCAGATACTAAAGAAGTATGGGAGCAGGAAGACCGGTGAGTGTAGTCACGGGTAGTATGGTTTTCGTTTCTTGTTTGTGTTGTTTTCTGTGTTTGTCTCTACGTTCTGAACGTTTGCTTTGCACTTTATTGTCTAAGCTTGTTTAAGACTTTATGAACCATAACCTATGTCTAAAATTGTATTGGCCTAAGAACGAACCCTTAAATTGAATAAAAATTCCCTATATATATATATAGACTATTGACCCTCCAAAAAAACTATTATAACCGGTTATAGGTTTCTTTATGGTAGCTTATAATGCATCACCTATATAGACAGCCTTTATACCAAGTTACAATACTAGTATAACCGGTTATAGATTTATTTACGATAGCTTATAATAAATTGTGGGTATTTATAAGCCCAATAGACGGATTAATTTGCTGGTATGTTTTAAATTAAAAACTACTGCTTATGCGGTTTTAGGGAATTATTATTCAAGATTATAACATCATTGTAACCGTTATTCGATTAACTATACGTCATATTATTTCTATACGTACAACATTGGTAGGACTAAAAGTTGTGAAGATAACATACTTATTATGTAACATTAAGTACACATTGGCATTTTATTTTCTTAACAAACTTGGGTATCACGTTCCCTGCCTCTTACCAGAATAAAGATTACACATAACTGTTTTGATACAATAATGACACTCAAAACTCAAACCGGCTGTTCTAACACCTTCATCATCCAAGTCATGCCAATGTTAATACTCTTGCATAGCTTCTTATATGGGAACCTTACATGTGGCACGGTTGTGTCCGCTTCCTTTGCAACGGCTACAAACATGTTTCTTCCTTGGAGCTTTCATCTACGTTTTTAAAAAATTAGTTATGGAAACTACACGAATAGAAGAGAAATTGTTCCTTTGTCGTAAATAGTGTAATTCATACCCTTATTTCTCCAGTTGATAATATCCTGCTTTTACGGGGACGACCAGGTGGACGTTTAGTAGCAGGCGGTAGAACTTCAAAACTAATAGCCTCATCTCGAACTCCTTGGTCTCTGTTCATATTGGTAACAGGAAAGATATCTCCACTGTACGCCAACAAGAGACGGTCGTTAGTGTACATTTCAGAAACAAGGCTATCGATTCGTATATTAGCTTTTATAGCCGCTGCGATACTATGTGGACAAGGTATCAGCAATATCTGGAACACGTTGCAGCTGCATTGTTTTGTTTCTAAATTGACGTGAAACAATCCACCACTTTTTTCCTTCACTTGATATTCTGAATTGTTGATATTGCTGGCCATCATTCCTCCGCTTCGTTCAAAGTTAACGCTAAGAATATCAACCACACGTGGGGTAAAATGCAACCCACTGTTGATGATGCCGCTACGCCTTTCTGAAAACCAATTCATTAGTTTCTCTCTTATAAATTCAACTAGTGGGACGATAGGATATTCTCTAGCTTCACGCAAGACTGAATTCCAACTCTCGGCTATGTTGCTAGTCATAATGTTGTAGCGGTTACCAGTAAAATGAACCCGTGCCCAATGCTCAAACCCAATACCTATGAGGTATTCCGCACACGAAGAGTTCAAGGTTTTAATTTCATTGAAAAACTCATAAAACTCGGGAATCCGAAAGGCTCTTGCTGCTTTGCCGACGAGGTACGAGAGATGTTTGTTTTTAAAATATGTTCGAATGTTGCGCTGCAAGTGTAAAATGCATGCACAGTGTTGAGCTGCGGGATACACCTGCAAGTAGCATAGGAAAAAAAGATTTAATAACAAATAACTTCTACTTAATGGGAATCGTTTAACGTCACCAACAATTGTTAAATAATGCAGTAAACGCCGTTATAACTTATTTCTCTATTTAATATACCATAAAACAATTTTCCATTTTGTTACCTTTGAAATTGCGTTGTAAATTGAGGAGTGCCTGTCGGAAACAAAAACAATATCTTCCCTGTTTGGTATAAACTGCAGTAGCCTTTTAAAAAACCACTCCCAAGCTTTATCATTCTCCCCGTCAACAATAGCGAGAGCTAGAGGGAAAATTTGATAGTTACCGTCTTGGGCCGAAGCTGTTAGTAAACATCCACCATACTTACCACGCAAATGTGTTCCATCGACAATTACAACCTGGCGCATTTGGTTGAATCCAGTCACTGAAGCACCAAATGCGAGAAATACGTACTTGAACCTATGGCCAACACCAGCGTCTAGCTGTGTTTCTAAATCAGAAATGGTTCCGGGATTTGCGAGAACTAGTCGTTGCAGGTACTTGGCCAAGAGATTGTATGACGCACCCGATGAACCTTTTGCGTAGTCCAATGCTATCTCTCGAGAGCGCCATGCTTTCCAGTAGGAAATTTTAACATCGTGATCACCTAGCATTACCTGGATAATTTCATTAGGTCGCGGAGTATTTCCATTCCCGATATATCTTGATCGCATCATCTCCCCAACAACTCCATGAGTTGCTTGACGTTCATATCCTGTAATAAACATGTTTCATAAATAGATTATATGTTTAGACAATGATAAAATGAGATAGATAAGGAACAAATGTTTACCAACGCGATCATCAGCGGAGCAGCTATGGTGTAAGACGGTTTTACGAATTACATACTTGTTCAGATTTTTAATCTTCGTTGCATAAACACGCCACATACACGTTTCACCTACGCATCTCATAACAATTCCTTGGGGGGAAGATCGGGAGGTCCTCAATCTAAACTTTTTACGCAAGGCATACATGGCCATGTGTTGTTTGAAATGTGATTTGTTTTCAAACATCATTCCTTCATAGACGGCATCCTCTCTGATTTCATGTGTTCCTACAAAGGTTGTTTGATTCAGATATTAGTGGTGCAACTAGGTAGTTAACTTCGAAAGGTATATTACATCATTTTCTTACAACCCAAAAAAAGATTAAAACATATTAAACATTCTTGTTCCATTAAGGAACCAACAAAAGAGCACCACCAGTAAAGGTATTTTACATTACAACACCCAGCAAGTACTATTAAGACTTTCTAGAAATTCGGATCAAATCCAAACCCACCACTGTCTCCATCAGCTTCAGAATCAGTATCCGTTATGTTGATGATTGGTTCACTCCCATTGTTGTTCATGATTCCTAAGCCTAGTGTTAGATTGAGGCTTGGTCCTCCGTTGCTAGACAATGCTGCAGCCGGGCCATCAGGGGTGATTTGTGGCATAAGCGGCGCAGTTCCATTTGGCATTTGGTCATTCAGATCACCTAGTTGTTATTGACAAGTAATATGATTAAATGAAAGGAAATGCGTTAACAAAATCTGAAATTTAAAAAAGCGGAGTGTAAATAACCTTGTTGGATGGAGGTGGTGATGTTGGTACCGTTGTCTCCCATCGGACCCATTTGGTTCTCAATTTCATTAACATTCTCAGAGGAATTAGTGAAAGAAGCTTCATCTTCTTCAACAAGCAAAACTGTATTTGGGGTTGGTGCCGCGGAAACCCTAAGATTTGGTCCAATAGGAAGGCCTAATGAACCGGTTGTTGGTCTAGGCGCAGATTGGACATTGATTTGCTGATCGCGGTCCCAGTAAGCTTCTTCTCCTACGCTATCCTCTTCCCAAATGGTGTGTATAGGTGGGATTTCTCGAAGAGGAGGAATCTCAAGTGTCGTATCACTGTTTTCAACGTTAGGAGGTATGCCATTAGGAAAAGCCTGGGTGAGCTGCTCTTCATCCATTGGTTCACCCTGTAAAACTGCCACAAAAATATCGACAAAGTCATTAGCTAAAAATATTTACGTCTCGTACAGTGATGCTGAGAAAGTAGATATATATATCAAGTTTCGTAAGGTTATTAGTTGTCGATGTTTAAAATTCTTTAACGGCAACCTAAGTTAGAGTAAAAATTTTATAATATTTTAGTAATACAAAAATTATTTATCCGAATCCATGGTTTGACTAATAACGCATAAAAACTTTAAACTTATAAAGTTGGCTACCTTCTCCGATTTGGCCATTGTTGATCTGCTCATCATTTCTAACGGTATCACCTTCTTGTATGGTAATCACATCATCCATAGTCAGTCTAGGATATGCAGCCATTTCTTCAGGGGTTGGTGCATAAACCAATTCGATCTCAAGTGCAACTCGATGAACGATTAATAGCTGTGGTTCGTTGAACATTATCTCCAGAATGTTGTTGTTACAAACAACTGGTTCCCTTCCAACAATATCTACAAGAATATTATTTCAATCAGAAAAATATTTGTTATATTCCACAGCTACAACCCAGTGTTTTAGTTACATAATAATAACGAAGAAAAGTTTTTGGAACGAACCTCTAATGGCTTGGTGATGTTGGTCTTCGGTGACGCCTTCTCCAAGGAAAGTTTGATTACCTATTTTGAAAGGAGTACGGCAGTGAAATTGATATTTAGCCACTAGTTCAGGCCCACTAGTCACGTAGAGCTCTTTTCCTGTCATGAACTCCATAAGGCTGAGCATATCCTCGACGTCTTTATCCGTAGACAGAGTAGTTGGCTGATTCAGGGGACCGACAGCGCTAACCATGGGATCGGGGATTTGGTAGGTCAACACAACAGGAGTGAGTACTCCAAGATCTAGCCTAATACGAATCATCTCGACCAAGTTGTCGAACGAATCGTTCGAGTTGATCAAGACAATCTCATGATCGGCGATAGGGTTTTCATCAAACACCCACTCTCCAGACGGCGTCTTCTCCCATATGCCTTGAATAAGTTTAACAAACTCTTCCATCTGTGAGAAAAAAAAGAAAGTTTTTTATTAATGTTTTAGCAAATCGGTTAGTATATAAAACAAAGAGATAATTTTTTTTTTTGGGTTACAGAGAAACGAAGAAGAAATGGTGTGAAGAAGAAGAGATAAACCGCTAGAGCTGATGACGTGAGTATAATCCAGAAGCGTCTTTAAGAAACGGTTATTTGGTTTTACTTCTGCAAACAATGTTTACGGATTCTTGTATTTATAGCCAAAAAGACATATAGAAACCGATATACATATTTGCCAAGTTTGTGAAATGAAACGCATTAAATGCGCATACAGAACCTACAATTAGATTGTCACTGTTCATGATTACGTAGAGCAAGCATGCTAGTATCCCTGACAAGTTGAAGATTTTTTCGTTTTTCAATTTTTTAATCTTAGTACTTATCTTCTTGTAGATCGGTTTAACGATGCAATGTTGATTGGATTGTGGTTCATGATTGGTAAAGTTTGATTTCAGAAAAACCGGTATTGTTATCCCACTTAATTTCGACAAACTTTATGCGTAATGTGGAATTCTTGAAAATAAGTGGATGGTAACTGGCCACGTGTTGTCTACTAGAACCATCTTTTTCCTTATAAACCACCATCCCTTTGTATTTTGTTCCTGCAATTTTAGGAGTTTTATTCAGTATACCAAAATGGCGATGAGTCAGAATTCTTCAGCCTCTATTGGGTCGGTTCCTCCCAACGACGGTCCTCCATGTTACTGTTTGCAACCGTCTATCCTTTCCATATCATGGAGTGATGATAATCCGGGAAGAAGGTATTACAAGTGCGAAGAACATGGCTTTGTGACTTGGTACGACAAAGAAAGAGCGTGTCGTTGGCAGAAGAAAAGTTTGTTGGAGTCGAGAGACAAAATCCTAAGTCAGACAGAAGAAATCCGGGCGTTGTGTGCAGCTCTCCGTCAAGCAAATGCACAGATTGCCGTGTTAGAGATCTCAAGATCATCTGGTTCAGTTAATGAACTCTTGAAGACCATCGAAGATCGCATAACAGATCATATCACTGAAACTCAGTCAGTCTTACGTAAAGCACTTGGTTTCTATGGCGGTGGATTTGCTATAGCCACAGCCTTAGTCATCTATTTTATGAAAAAGTAGTTTTTGATTTCTTTTTGTACTGTTTCGTTATTGCGGTGACTTGTTTATCGGGTATTAAACAAATGATTATCATCTCTTCCCCAATGTAATCCTATGGTACTTATTATAACCGTTTCCATAAGCAAGAGAGTAACAAATAGTTGTTTCGTTTGATAGTGATTTCCAGTTTTAAAACTTTAACCTTATTTACCAATATAAGCTATGCTATTATAATCGATATATTTACAATATTTTCGGAGATTTGCAACTCCACCCTTACTATCACTGTAAGGAGGATGCATTCATCTAAATGGAGACACATTTTCATGCTTCTTAATGAGCATATCCGGTTTTATATTTTACCGGTTACATAACTTTTAGTCCTACGTCAACGATTTTTATACTTTATTGACTAGGACCTTGCTTAATATTAAGATTCTATTTCAAGAAATGTTAATGAAAACGAAAAATAAAGGATCACAAATCTTTGGCAATAATCAGTTCGATATCTGAAGTACACGCGCTTGTTTTGTATAACCACTATCTTCTCAACTTGACACTCGAGGAGACAAAACGTCCCTATCATCTGTCTTGACTGACACATTTTCCTGTCTTCAATATATCCCAAAAAGGACAAATGGGTAAGTTCCGAACCACGCCTTTTGCCTTCATACCGAAATAAAAAGGTGAACGCTACCACACCTAATTAACTTTCGTTTCATGTATATTGAACGCAATTGCTCTTATTTTATGTTAATCATATAATTATATATTAAAAAATTATCTTATGATTCCCGGTCACATTAAATTATATAACATAATAACTTTATGTGAATTTTGCAAACAGTAAAGTGAAATGGTTGAATTTTTAATGTTTATAAATAAACTACATCTATATTATTAAAACTGAAATACTTTTTAGTATTGTTTGGAATAAAGATACTAGGATAAATGAGAATTATTTGGAAACATAGATATTACATTAATTATTTCTTTTTATTTGTACACTTAGCCATTTCATTTACATTAAATTAAATACTTTCTTTTTGTATTTCTTTTTATTTGCAGATTCTATCATTGATTTTTAAAACTACTTTAAATTAATTAATCACAATGATTTTTTTCTTTGTGGTGAAAATAAAAACACAAACTGAAATATATAGTATATATTATGTAACATAGTTTTTAAATATAGTATTATTTTATTTAATTTAGTCTCGAGAGTTCAATTTTCAAGAAAAAAATAATAAAATTAATGATAAATTATAGAAAACCAATGCAAAAAATTAGTTTTTAGTATGTTGTCTCATTTTAAAATAAATTAACAAAAAACAACATGGTAATATATGTACAATTACATCAAATTATAAATTTTCTAATATAATATTATGTACAAATAAAAATTATTATTAAATATTTATCTTATAAAATGTTATATTCTACTCTATAGGTAAATTACAAAACATAAAAAGAATATATAATTTTTTTATAAAATCAACGATTTATGAATTTACGTTGAACACAAATTAAATCAAATATCCACAAGGGGTGCAGGTCAAGTTCTACTTAGTATTATAACAAAAGTAGAATATATTTAATAAACTATTTTTAAGAAATACTATAAAATTAGAAAATCAATTTTAATAATTCTCCATTTTTGCGAGAAAAAAAAACATTTTTTGAAGAATATTGAAAATTTTCTAAATGGTAGGCCCAGAAATTATTAGCCTATCACACATATGATATGACATAGACCAAGAAGTGAAAATAACAGATTGCCTTCCTTTTTCGTCTCACATTTCCACCACAAACTTTTTGGTTTCTTTTTTTGGCAAAGAAACCACAAACTTGTGTTCAAAAAAAAAAAAGAAACCACAAACTTTTTTCAAATTTTATTTTTCTTGGGGTTAATCGAAGATGAGCGGAGACGGTAGAGTTTTCACCTTGGGAGAGGTTTCTAAACACAGTAGTAACCAAGACTGTTGGATCGTCATCGACGGCAAGGTGGTTCCACTACTTCACATCTCTTCTTCTTCTAGTACTCTCTCTATATATGTTCGATCAAAACGTCTATTTTCTAATTTGATGATACTGTCTACTATATATATATATATATAGGTCTATGATGTGACAAAGTTCTTGGACGACCATCCTGGTGGTGACGATGTCATCTTGACTTCTACAGGTATAACTCAGATTCTCTTTCAACTCTTCACACATTTTTCTTTTTACTTCATGTTTGGAAGGAGAAAGGTTAGCAAATTTCATGGCACAAGAAAGTATTTTGGTTTTCAGGGAAAGATGCTACGGATGATTTTGAGGATGTGGGACACAGTTCCACTGCTAAAGCCATGCTAGATGAGTACTATGTTGGTGATATTGACTCTTCCACTGTCCCAACTAAAACCAAGTTTGTTCCTCCTCCCCCTCCAAAGCAGACCGAGTCTAATCAGAAACAGAGCTCGGAACTTGTCATTAAGATACTTCAGTTCCTTGTTCCTCTTCTCATTTTAGGATTGGCTCTTGGTATCCGTTCTTACACCAAGACACCTTCTTCTTGAGGATGAGGGCTTTGAGTGTTTCCCTCTCTACTACTACCTGGTTACACTCTTTGTCTCTTTTTTTTTAACCTCTGCATGTTTTGTAACACTTCAGATATTATATTCACTTTTTTCAACTAAGTGAATCTGTTGATGTTAAGAGACCTTTGTAAGTTTATAACATACAAACAAGCATCCTATGCTATGCACCACACTTTTTTTTTTCTGAAAAAAATATTATTATTGTTGTTGAATCAATGTGCCAAAACTGAAAGTTTTGTCTAATGAATTACACCAAGTTATATCACTTATCAAACAAGAATCATCAAAAAGGGCACACCAAGAAATGAATTTACTAAATCCCATATTTCATTTCCACCGGAGAGATTGTCTAATGCCAGTGAAGATGAGTCCAACTGATCTACCAATCAAGGTAACAAGAAAGAAGGATATGATGCTACTCACTTTATTCACCACCACTCTGATGATTGGCATTCCAATATCTGATAACTCCAGAAACAGACTAAAGTAGTACCTCCTGTTGTACACACATCATCAAAATCTTTCTCATCATGTATTTAAAGGTTCTTGTAGGTAAAAGAAGAAGAGAGAGGTTTTTACCATCCTGATAGAGCCTTGAGCTCCTTTGTTCGTTTAACAGGCAATGAGAAATCACTTATTATGGAGTATCTCAAGGCTGATGATGATGAGGCAGCTTTAGCTTTTCCCGGTGTGAGCTTTCTCCACCAACTATATCTTTTCGTGTCATCACCACCATCAGAGTTGTTGATCACCTGAGTTTGAAGAATGTAGAGGTCAAAGCGATCTTCATACATCGACACAACTGCTTCCATGTTCTGATGTAACCATTGGTATAGAGCTACCTACCAAAGTAGAAATAAAAATCTTTAACCCTGAAGAATGAAATGCATGGTAAGTTTCTCTGTGTGTGTGTGTGTGTTTGTTTACCTCGTTGCGTAGTTTTTGAAGTGCTCTACTAGAAAGGTTACAGATATCTAACCCTCCACTGTTCATTTCATCTGAAAACTTGCTGTCTACAGAAATGAGCTCTAGATAGATGCTAGCGACCGCATCTGCTAACGTTATCATCAAGTCTTCCAAAATGGCAACTCCATGAGTACGAAACAAGCTAAGATCATAACAAGAAGCTTTCCTTAAAGATCCAAACTTATGGAAGTATAAGAACTCTGCAAACAGATCCTCCTTGCCTGATTTTCTTATTTTATCAAAGATAGTTTCCTTTTCATTTAACATTTTGATCAGCAACGGAGTCATCGCCTGCACATTGTCGAATTGGTATTCAAATAATGAAAGCAACAAAACTGAAAACAGTCACTAAATGTAACATGTGTTATCTACTTACCTTGTCAGAATCAGTGTCTTCCCCACACAGTTCCTTCTTTAGCCAAGCCGTGCATGCTCCTTGATAAGCTTCACTGACAATATCATTAAAACTAACCTTCCACTCATCCGAGTTGATTGTGTTAGATATCTTATTTGTCTGCAGAACAAATACAATAGCTGATCACAAGGTATAAGGAATCACAGCAAAAAATAAGACTAGAGAGCAATACACCCCTGAGCTAAAAACCATTGGAGCCTATTAAAAACATATATGCTTAAAAGTGAAATACTGGAGAAGAGGAGGTAGAAGCTGACCTCTTCTTCAAGTTTCTGAAAGCAAGACCAGAGCAAGTACAACTGTGGCCTTTCAGATATGGCATACAAGCTCAGAGGAGGCTTCCCTTGAGGCGGTTTGGGTTTCAGGACTCTGTTTCCAAATGTACTCTCACTCTTAATAGCGTCTAAAGAATCCAAAAGCTTTCCTTTGACCACATCCCATACAGACTCCAAACCACCATCAAAACCTGTGTCCCTAAAAATGAAAGAAAGTATGCTATCTAAATAAATACACAACAGTTTGCACTGTAAATTGAAACAGAATAGAGAGACTACTCTTACCTACCAGAAGACTCTGAAGTTCCAACATCTGGACTCTCCTCCTCCACAGTGTTCTTTCTAGAAGAGTAACCAGAGTTTTGAAGAGGAATCACTCCAGCCATATACGTGAGGAAAACACTAGCCATCAAGAGAACTTGGTCACCGATAGGGACCCAACCGGAGCCAGCAACAGCATCAAACTCTCCCAGAGATGCCAAACAAGCACACTTAAAAGAAGACTCTCCAAGATTCAAGGAAGTAGTAACATAACGTCTCCGAGCTAACCCTGATGGCTTCCATGTGATGTTGCAACTCCCAAAAGGCTTCCTACAATAAAAAGGCATTGACTTTATGGTCCAGAACCACAACAACAACAGAGTTAGCTAAAAAGGACAAACCTTTGGGGAATATTAAGAGGAGGGTTCCTTGAAAGGCATCTCCTTTTAGTGAAGTGTAACGGCAGGTGAATGCAAGAAGATGAAGACACAACCATTGGTAAAAACAATAGAACTCAAGACTTAAAACATGTTTGAAGAGATTCTTCAGACCAATCTCTACATCACAAAAGACAAAACAAATGAATTTCAAGAAACCTGATTGCAATAAGTCTTAGTTAAGCTTAGGAAGATAACAATAGAGACAAATCCTAAGGAAACACTAAGTTACATTTCATGTTTGAAGAGATTCTTGTTAAGACCAATCTCTGCATCACAAAAGACAAAACAAATGAATTTCAAGAAACCTGATTGTAACAAGTCTTAGTTAAGCTTAGGCAGATTACAATAGAGACAAATCTTAGTTACATTCATGTTTCAAATCTAAATTGAGATTCAATAGTCAAAATAGGAGTTTCAAGGGAGAGAGATGTAACACTTACATTAGCAAGAAACCTAAGAGAAATTGAGAAAGGAGCAGAGAGGTGATGACGAAGAAGCGGATTGGGGTTGTGCGTATCTGAAAAGACCTCTCTCTCTGGTTGTGACCCAACGACAGAGACAAAACAAAAGTACCATGGTTTATTATAATAATAATATTTATGAAGATAGTGAACAAGGGGGGTGGTGGCGCAGTTGGCTAGCGCGTGAGTCTCATAGCTATTTGAGTAATCTTGAGGTCGTGAGTTCGAGCCTCACTCACCCCATTTTTTTATTTTTATTTTAATTTGGAAAGCTGAGTTTGTTTAAAATTTCGTCCCACATCGGATATTGAGTTCTTTTAGTTTGTGTATATATGTATTTAGAGAAGGAAAAGATAATGTGTTCGTAGAAAGGAGAGATGGTTGGCATCTCCTCTGACAGAGACGGGATTGACCTTCGGGTCCTGAACACATCCGGTTAAGGCTTTCCACCCTCGGGTGGTTCTCAACCCAATTTTTTTAGGTTTTTTATTTATTAATTATTGGGCTCTTCCTTTCTCTACTCTATAAGAAGTTTGTCAACAAATGATTCTTGCTGCATTGTTTCACCTTATGAGGTAAGCTTCCTTCTCATCTCAGTGTTCCATGTTCTTGTACACATGTCTGTTAAGCAATTTATGGTTGTCTTGTCTCTAAGATTAATGAATTTGTCTTAGGAAGAGCATCTTTCAGATAATAAACGATCAGTGTAGTGCTTGTTGTTGGTTCATGTCTCTTTTGCTCTTTGAGTTTGAGATAGTTGATCTTACGCCATATATGAATGTTACGGAACATGACGTATGTGTATTACAATCTTGACAAGTTTTAGTTGTTTTCTTATTCAAGAGGTTGCTCATTGATTCACCTTTGTAACATGAAATAATTACACACCTTGACAAGTTTTAGTTTTTTTTTTTAAAAGCCCCTAGATAAGAAACTAGCATTGGAGTGAAAAATTAATGTGTTTTTTAAGCAGAGTTTTTAATTACAATTAATTATTAAAATATTTATTAAGAAACCCTAATGAGTTTGTGGGTTAATGGTGTTCTTATATATTTGCTAGAAGAGTTTATGTTTACAAGCAACTAATAGAGTATAAAAGACATCAACATGACGTCATTATTTTTGTTGTATATACAAATTTACACAAGAAAATAGAACACATGCCATCTTCTAACACATCAAAACTATGAAGACAGGAACTATATGATTACATAACAAACATTAAAATTCAAACCATTATTAGCAAACTAATTGGTTTCTAAAAGAAGAGAAAACATTAAAATTCAAACCATTATTAGCAAACTAATTGGTTTCTAAAAGAAGAGATCTGTTCGAAGATTGGGAGTCTCTTAGCTTTATAATTACTCGTCTTCATCTCTTCAACCCCGAGAACAAAGTCATCGTCTAAGATATTTCCCAAGACATCCTCCATCTCAGCATCTCGCAGACGTGGCAACGAAGCCTCTAGCTCACTCAGAAGCTCTTCCGCTCGTTGCCTTGTCCTACAATCATCTGCACCCAAAACCCTAGACGCAAATACATCGTCAAGAAGTGCTCTTGCCTCTTCAAACCTGCCTTGTTTGATAAGGCACATCGCTAGGTTGCATGATTTGTTAGCCTCTGGTTCCACCATCTGAGCTTTTCTGTATACTGCTTCTGCGGATAAGTACTTGGCTTGTTGCATATATGCCCATCCCAAGTTCCCCTGTAAACCGATCAGTTTATTACCGAAAAGAATTAGAACATAATTACACACATCAGAACCGTTTTTGTGTACAATTGTATGAAACATTTGATTTTGCCTCCAAATTTTTAAAAAAAATTATTGTATATAGTTCACATTCTTCCAACTGCCAATTTTTAATTATAATTAATCTCAAAAGATTTATAGCTCTCTAAATTTCAGATTCAGTCTGGAAAACTATAGTATTATAATAATTAATTACCAGTAATCTTGAGATTTCTTGTTGAACGGTCACTTGAAACTTTTTGCCATGGGATCTAGCGGTCTTGGTGGGTTTACCATTGAAAGCCTCTCCTTGATATATCTGTCTTAGCTTCCTCTTCAACAGCTCAACTTGCTCCTCCATTCTTCCGCATTTCTATTCATTGTAAGAACTCACTCATGTTAGTGTTATGACAACAGAACATACAGTTTCTATGTGTTGATTCATGGCCTAGTTCCATATACTGTACTTGCATTTTATATTAAAGACTTAGAGTGCAAGGAGATAAGTGTATGGTCATAATAAGACCTTGTATAGGTCGATGAGGACATTGTCTAGGGAATCTTGAGAGTTCTTGGAACAACGAGGACGAAAGGATTTAATGGCTTCGATGGCTTCTTCTGAACGGTCAAGTTGTTTCATTACTACAGCCATGTCCTTGAGGGCACTGTCTACTCTGTCTCCAGTGTTAATGGCTTTCCAAAACCACACTATTGCCATCTCCGGGTTCTTCTCTATCAACTGCAACCAACATTGTTACATATGCTTTAGTTATTAATAATCTCACTCCCCATTAATATATAATCAAGTGTTTTAGTTTTAGAAATAGATGCTTATCGAAGTATGTGATATATATGGGCCAATATAAAATTGTTGAGAAGAATATTCTTTGGGACGTAAAGACTTTTTTTTTGCACCATTCTAAGGAAAAGTAAACGCAAGTATTATTGCGAGAATCAGGACCGTTTGGTGCAACCTGTGACTCTTATAAGCACACGCAGCACACCGCAACATTTGCTGCTTTTTATATATCGTAACGTATTATTTCGGTTTTATTGCATAATAATCAGCTAACAAACAAAACAAATTTAAAATAGGATTGGAATAAGCGTGACGCATAGTTTTGATTAAATTTAACAAAACTTGCTTCTTTTGGCTTAATCGATCAAGTTGAGTTATATAAGCAATGATTTTTTTTTAAAAGGGTTTTCGGTGGACTAGTAAATACCAAAAGTTTTCAGCATAACTCAAAATATTTAAAATATTATTTATAAATTCTTTCTTTTGTAAGAAATTTCAGGCAAACAATAAAGAAAAATACAGCAACTTCTAATCCAGATTACACCAAATTAAAATTACACTAAAAATGTATAGATATATTTTGCACTAATTTCCATTAGAAATCCATTAAACAGTAAATGAAATTAACATGAACTATTCATACATGAAAGATTGTTAAAAAATGATTCACACAAATAAAATGCTAAGAGAAGAAGAATATGTACCTGAGCATGTTTGGCTTTGACATAGGGAGTATCTCCACAAGGGACTTTGTGGATCACATGAAACAGTTCATTATCTTTCATCAGATTGCTTCTGGTTGAGTTGGTATTATTATTCTTCATCTTCTTCAAAAGCTTCTCTTTTTTTTTTTGAAACTTCAAAAGCTTATCTATCTCTCTCTCTGAATAATTAAGTATACAAATGTCTTTAGACAGGCTGGGAGAGACAACTCTGAGCTATATGTTATATATTCGTATGTTTATAACTGTAGTAAATGAATCGGGACAACATTTCGTCCTTGTTCATAGATTCTGCCACATCACCTGGAGACTTCTTACCACGTAGGTAAACGAGCCAAACGTGTGTCATTTTACCATTGCCACTGTCTCTCTCTATCTTTTATTCTATCTACCTTTTATTAGTATAATTTAGGTTATTAACAGCCAAAAGGTTATATATTTTCGTTGCATATATATCATCAATAACTACGTACGGTGTATTCTAGAATCTATCGATGTTCTTGGTGAATTGCCTCACGTTATTGTCGGTCTCTTCCTCTATACTCGCTCCCTTCCAATAACTTACAGGAAAGGGTATTTATTTTTGTTTCTACAACAACATAGT